TGGATGCCATCAAGGGATTAAGGGCTAAAAAAAAATCTCGTTTCATCCTCTGCCTGCACAAACAAACACAGTTATTAAATCAGCATTGGCTCAAACATCCAGGGGCTTATAGGACTGTGGTCTGTCAGTTTACTTTGTTTTGCTTTGAGCCATTTGAACATAACAAGGAAACAGGAGCAAGCAGCGGAGGGAGGAAGGAAAGAAGGGAGGGGGGAGGTTGGACTCGGGCAGGAAGAGCACAGTACGTCGATCCCTCGCTGTCACCTGTAAGTGAAATGAACACCTGTTGCCGGTGGGCTTTTAAAAGGAAAACGCTCAAATTTCAGGTAGTTTGCAACGCTACAAAGGAATAAGGCCCGTTTTTAGTTTTTCAGCCACTGACCCGGTGTCTACAAACTCGGGCACAAGTTGGACTAATACTCGAGAAGGATGTGTTTTTAAAAGCAAAATCTGCCAGCGGCTAAAACGGAGCTACAGGTAAGATAAGTAAGAAAAAATAGAAGATGTTAATGATTTTGAAAGTGTGTCTGACTTCCAGCAGCTTTAAAAGGATGAGAAATTAATGCTCGGAGCTCAAACTGTGGAGTGCCAAGTTCCCTCTCAATCCTCTGAACTGTGGCATGCATTTAAACGTCAGTAATGAAGTTTCTATGGGGGGGATTTTCATTCTAATGCGCAATATGAAACTGACAGAAACTCAGGAACAGCCATTTGCCATGAGTAATTTAAACGTCCCAATGCAAACTTAAGTCTGTTTTCTATTGTTTACATTATTTATTTGTATGTTGTTTTTCCTTTATGGCTGTTGCTTTAATTGAGAATGACAACCTTTAGATTATTAAAGAATTTGGAGTCACGTTATTAGAGAAAAACAGGGCTAAGATATTGGCTGTTAGAGCGTGAGTAGATAAACACCGTACATTCACAAGGAGGGGATTTTATGCCGCATATGGATACAACTTTCACAAGCAGCAGTGCAATATGTAGAGCCAGAACCAGCATATAAGAGCTCATATTTTTCTGCTATTGTCTTTGTATTGAACCCACCGTCTATCTTTATTTCACCACTTATGGAAGAAATGGTCTCATAACTTTCCGAGACAAGCATCATTTAATGGTTTGAAATTCTATTCTTGGTTTGAATTGAGGTTGCTGATGTGCCAGATGGGTGCAGTTTCCCGTTATATATTATTTTCCATAAAGTTTATATCATCAGTGGGAGCAGAGTGGCAATTAATTCAGCAGGACTTGGTGGCACCTGAATAGTACATATGCAATAAACACTTCAGATCTGACACCTAAAGTGGATTGAAGTAGATCATTATCTACAAAACTCTTTCATTCCCAGTGGGTTTTTTTTTTTGTTTTTTTTTAGCTTCTGCGTTCCAGTGAGCCCAGTACTGATACTGGAGAAAAACCGACAACAGTGTAAATAAAAAAAGTCATTCTTTAGGTTAAATAACATACAAAACATCTATGCAAGGTGGTTTCTTCAGTGTAATACACCTGTGGAAACCATCAACTGCTCAGTGTTTGAAATTCTAGTTAAAAGTGCAATGCACCACAATACAATGGCCCTTTAAAAAAGGAAAACGTAATGTATTAGTGTATCCCTTTACAAAACAGACAGCTGGGACTACATGAACAAAAATCTAATCTACTATGTGTTTATGCATTTAAATTTTGTAAATACAATAGTGTTATGATTCAAATGTTGCTAAGTCATGATTGGTCCCTTATTGTCACCTGTTAACAAACTCAGCCCCTCCCACTTTAAACCACAGAGAAGAGCAAAGGCAGACAGAAAGAAAGGAAACGTACAAGCCCCTACTGTGGTGAAATACCCAAAACGTGTGTAACTTTGGATGAAAATTGTGTACAATGTTTAGGATAAAGCTGAATTTAAAAAGAAAAAAAGTGTTTCAGGAATTTAAAGCAGAGCTGTTGTGATCATTTCCAACTTGATATTTTTATTCGTTTCTTTGCACGATTCTTGCTTCAAAGTACTAATTCACTGTGGGAAACAAGCAG